GTATCAGGGATTGAACTCAGGTCCTTGCTCTTGCAAGGCAGGCCACCGAACTGCTGAGCACACACTCTCTGGATAACTCAAATTGTGCCCTCACATCCTTATTTGCTCTCCAACATTCTTATCTGTCTCATTTGTTGAACACCTCCGCTAAGAGGGGAAACATGAATGAAAGAGAAAAGGGAAGAAAAGAAGAAGGATTTCTCATTTCTTACTGGCTAACTTCTATTTGCATTCTGTTTGGTATCTTCATCATTAGCAGCAAGAAAGGCAACCACTCATGAACACAGCGTCCATGTGCTGGAAACTAAGCCAAGTGCATTATATGCATTAATCTATGTATTTTATGCCCACTTACTAGACAAGAAATTTGATCTTCTGAGAGTTTAAATAATTTGCCCAAGCGAGGAGAGTTAATACATGTCAGGGTGTGACCTTATATTTGGATCATTTTGGACTAAACTTCAAGGATTTTGGCAAGCACATAGGAAGATCAGATAGTCCATACTGCCACCTAGAATGAATGGTGCATTGCTGTGTTTTGAATTGTTTCTCAGCTTGAGAATTGCCCTTTCTAAGTCAAGTACTCAGGTTCTGCTCTGTCTAGCACTCTCTTTTCCCACTATGGTAGACTCCAGGAGGAGATGCATCTGTACAGGAGGCAGGTTATATCCTTTCTACCTACAGGAAGCCTACAGTGTGGCATGGCTTCCCATTTTTTGCAACACGGTATGAGTGGGATGTTAAGACAGGGTCGTTTCTCCGAACCCTTCCTGATCACTAAAGCAGCATCATTGCCAGGTGAGTTTCTGTATTTTCTGTAACGTATAACTGGGGAAACAAAATGGAAAGGAAAAACAACTTACAAAGGTGGAAGGAGGAGAGTAGGGAGTACACAGAGCAAGGGGCTTGGCAAGTAAACACTAGGAGAAGTAAGAAGGAAGGATGAAAGGCAAAGTAAAAAGTCCAAGGCTAAGGGAAGCCAGGCAGCTGGGTGTATGGGAAGCTCCAGAACAACTGGAAAGAAAACATGGGGTTCTTTGAGAATGATCCCTGAAAGTTATACGTGCTCTCCTTTACAATTCTTCTAGGGAGTCAGATAAAGATTGAAAACGCTCTATCATCGCCATTTGATACCTTGTGTCCTTTCTCTTTATTCAGACTGTATGAGGATAGCCAAATAAAGGAGTGAGGAGGAAGGACAACGCCATCTCTCTCTGAGCAGGACAGAGGAGGTCTTGAGAATGAAGACAGGGTGATTTTACGTCCCAGGTGCCCCATACTTGTACCAATTTACATTATTAGAATTATCAACAGTTAAAAGGGCAGGGTCATCTGCCTTTTAGCTCTATAATCAAGATTTTTAAGTAATAGAAGAAAAGGTTTAAAAATAGAAAAAAATATTTAAAAAATAGAAAAAAAAAAGGATTTAAAAAATAGGATGCCTTGTACTACATCACGAAATGCTGTCCTCCAGTGCAATAGATTACACTCACTGGACGTGGCTTCCACACTCCTGGAGCCTCTTTCGTCCCCAGCTCAAGGCCACCCCATTGGTTCAGTCAGTGACGCAGCAGAGTCCAGCCATGTGAGCAGTCAATGGGAAGACACAGGGACCTGCATTTGATAGCCTTTTTAGCCTCTAGTTGAGTGACTCTGATGACATTCCCTTTCCCTTGCCCCACTTTCCTCTTTTGTTAAGTGAGGGGGAGAAAAATCTACAAGATTTTTTTGTGGCCTGACATTCTGAATCTGTGAGTAGCAGGGCTGGTGGGTGGCAGATACAGGCGTTCTGATTGGGCGGCAGCTGTGTGTAGGACTCTTCTCCAAAGCTGTGGGTAATTGCTTCAAATATGGCTTTTAATATTCTATTGTTAGTATCTGATACTTTATATTCCAGGTGGAGGGAAGAGGCTTTGCTGGAAACAAGGAGGGTAATTTTTGCATTTGTATCAAAGAAGCTGAAAGACCTCAATTTCTGAATCTGTGAAATCCCACTGCAAAGCTGTTAAACATGTCTGAGGAGAAAGAATCGGGTGGGGCTCAGATACCATAACTCAAAATGCAGCGAGATCACAACTGTCTCACTATCTCTCCTCAAACATATGCTTGTTCAAAAACATTGGCAGAACTGCTCAAAATTCCTGATGCAAAACATCATTTAAAAAAAGAAAATTTCTGCCATATTTTAACAGATGAGTTTTAAAATGCAGTTTCTACTTTTATTAGTTTTAGTAAAATTCCTTACAATTTACAATACATTTTCCTATGTCTCCTATATTTAGTTGTCAACCACAAGCCAGTAAGAAAGAAATATACAGCTATAACTTCCATTTCAGAGGAAGAAGAAAGTGCAATTTCAAGGCATGAATTTGTTGATGGCTAGTTGTGGATCCAGGGCTACAAATTGGGACTGCTGTCTGACTCTGCCTCCCAAAAAAGAAATCCTACCCATTGGGAAATAAGAAAACCACCTGTATGACAGGAAGGACTGTATGATGAAGTTTAATACCTTGGTTTACGAAACAGACTTAGAGTTACCTGTGTTCCACACTTCTCTTCCTCTGCTTTGTCCTCCACGTGGAACACAAGTAACTCTAAGTCTGCGCTATTTCAAGT